TCTATCTATCTATCTATCTATCTATCTATCTATCTGTCTATCTGTCTATCTATGCATTGAAAAAACACAGAATGCATACACCAAATTTCAGACAGCAGCAACCATAAAATGCACCAGCAGCAGATGATAATGTGTGTTGCTTGTTCATAATCCCTATTATCAAGAGCTGCTATAACATTCCTAAAAGATTATTGTGACTGAGCTTGCTGGACCTAAAAGGGAAACAGCATGACATCATTGTGCATATTGTATGGTGGACTAGACAGTGCATTGGGCTGACAGTGCACAGCCTTTCCTAAGTTTTTATGAGGCATTTCAGTGGAGGAGTCCCTGTTTCATGTCATCTCCATCCTAACCTAGAAAGAAAAGGAAGCAAAGTCTTCATAGCACTCTTAAGCACCAGGAATGCTTGGAAACAACTGTGTTGAGCATTTCTACATCAAGGAGACCCTGGCCTCTTCTGTGTAGACCCCAAAGCTGGAGGGACACGTACATGGTCTACAGTTCTCCATTGCATATGGCAGAACTAGGGATGGCGAAGATTTTTGTTTCATCTTGGTTGTGCCGCAAGATGTATTTTGTATATGAATATCTGTATAAGGTAAAGGTTCCCCTTGACAATTTGTCCAGCCGTGTCCGACTCTAGGGGGCAGTGCTCATCCCCGTTTCCAAGCCATGGAGCCAGTTTCCGTGGTCATATGGACAGCACGATTAGACACAGAACGCCGAATAAATGTATAGATGTAGGTAAATGTCAGGAAACTTCATCAGGTCCAGAACACAGCAGCCAGATTGGCAACTGGGACTGCTGTAACAGCAGCTCCACTGTTGCAAGAGCTCCATTGGCTGCTGATCTGTTTCTGGGCTGAATTCAAAGGACTGGTTCTAACCCATAAAGCCCTAAACTGCTTGGGCCCAAACTATCTCAAGGACTGCACCTCCTTTTATGAGCCCGCTTGAGTTTTAAGATCAAAAGGAGAGGCCTTCCTTTCAGTCCCGCCACCTTCACAGGTTCATTTGATGGAGACATGGGAGAGGGCCTTCTCTGATTACTGCTCCCAAACTTTGGAACTCCCTCCCACAGGAATCTAGGCTGGCCTCATCCCTGCAGTCCTTCCATGGGTGAAGACCTTTCTCTTTAGGCAAGCTTTCTCGGAATGACTGGCTGTCTGAGTGGGGTTTTTCAATGGATTGTTGTGCCTTACTGCTTTGAATGTGTTTTGGTATTGCTTATGTTTTTTGTTTGTTTGTTAGTTAGTTTTTGTTTTGTACGATATTTGTTTGATCCTTTTTTGGTGGCTGTATACTCACCATTGTTAGCATTAAATACTGTATTTAAAGCCACCTTGGGTCCTTTTTAAGTAGAAAGATGGGATAAATCTATTTCAAGCAAATCAATAAATTTTCCAAATTCCCAAATTTCTCCATATTTGTAACAGAAAGAACTTGAGAATAGAGTACGCAAGTCACTGAAATGGAAATCAACAGATCTGTCCATCCAGAGTCAGCTGTTTGAGTCCGTAACTCTTAAAATCCCAGCCTTGAATTCTCATGTGTTCAAACAATGCCATGCTAGATGACAATGTTTTCTGAAGCTCTTTATCACATATATAGGTTTGACTTTGGCCAGTTCAGATGACTGAAAAGTTCGAGAAATTCGCTGAAATTTGCTAGGCATGTTCACGGGACAGAACTAATCTGATTTTTTAAAAAAAATCAAAAGCAGGAGAAATTAAAACTGACAGTTTTCCCTGTTCCTCAGCAAATCCCATGCTGTGCAAGGCTATAAACCGACTGAAGCTTCCCCTGATCACCCATAGTCTTCTTAATTTGCTGACATATTTAGATTGCCTTCTTCTGCCTCCACCTGTAGCATGGTGGGTGGCAGATGACATTTGCAGTAATTGCTCTGTAAGCAGCTTTCTGCATTGCACCTGCTCCCTGCTTGTGGCAATCTATGAGATCGATGGTGCATGCTTATGAGTAAAGATTGGATGGCTTCTGCCTTATCAGTGATAAAAAAACACACACAAATACAAACACAAAAGGAAGTGGAAAGAACCATTTATGTCCAATGTACAACGAGAGGTGGGTTCTCTAGACATGAATTAATGAATGAATCAGTTCAGCAGCAGGATATATTTTGGCCAGCAGATTATTCTGTGATCTTCGTCAGGGGCTGCGAAAGAAGAAATGGATGATACAACCAGTGCAATCATACCACATTCATAAAATGTCAAAATACTTCTTTAGGTAGTCATCCTCAAGGAGCTGCTGCTGCGCCTCCCTTCAGGCCGTTACCACCTGCCATACAGTTAAATGTGGGGACAAATAATCTGAAACTTTCGTAGACATGGTTCGTTTAGTGATATGTATGCACAAGATACTTTGGGCTGCTTGGATGGCTCAGTATACATGGATACATGGCTAGAAAAAACAGTGGTTGGGTTTTGATTCCCTATTGGGCCTCCCAGGAGAACAGCCAGCCTGTGTACGAGCTGCATAGTCTCAGAGTGCCTTGAGAAAAAAGGACTCGTGAATCACTTCTGAGTACTCTAAACCAGTGGTCCCCAACCTTGGGCCTCCAGATGTTTTTGGACTTCAACTCCCAGAAATTCTGGTCAGCAGAGGTGGTGGGGAAGGCTCCTGGGAGTTGTAGTCCAAGAACATCTGGAGGCCCAAGGTTGGGGACCACTGCACTTAACCTAGAAAATCCTGAGAAGGATCAGCAGGAGTTGGAATCAACGTGACAGAACATAATAATAATAATTATTTAATAAACCATCTTGAAGATGACTGCTATGAAAATGGTTTTATTTTGTTGCTTTTTGGATGTAATATGTTGTATGGGTTGTCCCTTTCTTCTATTTGTTGAAATACTTTGGGCGGATATAATGAATAAAACTATTTTTTAAAGACTCCATCTCTCCATGGATGTTAAATTTAGGAGTAATGCTTTGAATTACTAACTTCTGGATTGTTTTCAGAATATCTGGATTCTTACTATTTTAGCTTTAGGGATCTGTCATTATTCTGGTGGTGATGGGGTGTGTTTGTTTATTTATTTATTTATTTGTTTATTTTTTAAAATGCGTACTCTGGCAGAATGCCTTTTCCCACCCAGTTCTGCCATAGTCGTTCTAGCCAGGCCGGGCGGCTGAGGGGCCTAATGCCGAGGGAGGTCCAGAAGGAAAGAACAAGGAACCGGGTCTTCTTAGCAGTGGCCCCTCGCCTTCAGAACAACTTGCCTGTGGAGAGCCACCTGGCTCCCTCTCTGGGTGTTTTCAGGAGTAAAGTTAAGACCTGGCTATTTTGACAGGCTTTCCCTCCTGTTGTATCTTAAATTTTGACATTTTTCTATCTTGGATTCATAGTACATGTATATTGGTTTCACTGTTTTTAAAAATTTGTAATGCCACCCAGAGTAGACCTTTGGTTTAGATGAGCATGGTAGAAGCCCAATCAATCAATCAATCAATCAATCAATCAATCAATCAATCAATCAATCAATCAATCAATCAATCAATCAATCAATCAATCAATCAATCAATCAATGTTAAGTGTATGACAGATGAGCAGCAGGCACAGTTTTAGAAATCAAAGTAACTAAAATGAA